TGTATACTAGTATGAGGCTGTCGTGATCGGCGCGACTAGGTCATATAGCTAGGTAGCTGACTATAGGGCAACTATAGTGACTAGGGCTAGCCGCGACTAGGTAGTCGAGTTGTGTACTGCCTGGATTGTACGGTAGTGTGTGTAGTGTGTTATATTGATAAAGAGCAGATAGCTTTCGTATTAGTTCTATAGTCGTGCAGTAATTATTCTGTTCATATCATGTATTAAGCATTAGGTAATGGGTATGCTGGTAACAAGGTAGTAACACATATTTGTATATATTTGCAACTGTAGTATAGTTATAATTAAGCTTACAGCACAGGGATCCTTAGAAGTGACTAGGGTACGGACCCCGGAACGTTACACTATCATACGTCACCATCATTCATTACATGTGTGTATAGGATTTACTTTGTGCATGTGTTTTATGTAGCACATTTTAGTTGTGAGTTTTACTCGAGTTGTGTCCCTTTAATCAAGCATTAGAACTATCGAAACAGAATGACAAGTGTTCTCATGACGCTGTATCAGTTATAATTAAGATTGTACAGCATTCTAAAATTATCATGTAAGTATTTTGACAGCAAAATGTCCGAGTAAGTAATGTATCAACAATTTGATAAACATCAGCTCCAATTTTAGGCAACAGTCATACCCAAAGTTAAGCGAGCGAGAGAGAGAGAGAGAGAGCGAGACGGGGACACAGGGAGAGAGATGGAAGGAGGAAGCCATTAACATCTGTCATTACTCACACGACTTCAAACTATAAAATTACTGTATAACAAACCGACAAAATCTGTTTACAAACAAATTACAATTGCATGTGTTTCGATTTGTTCCACTGTGAACGGGGAATTATAACTGACACAAGGATCAAAGAGGTCTTTCGGTTCAGAAGTTATTGAAGTGTACGTAAAGGCTGGTCAGAATGGTAATATGTAAAGCGATACGTGTTATGTAGACAGACTCGTCCTGAAATCATTTGTAATCTACAATGTATATATAGCACAAATAACATACAAATTGATTCAACACAATATTGGCGTATACAGTAAGTTATGACGAGTTCGCTCCCCTTGTTCGAGTCCTTTACACAATATTCAGCTATGAATTGTACTGAGTGGAGTTAACACGACTATAAAGTCTGACAGGTAACGTCAACTCTGATCTACCTGGTGCACTCAGATACATTATGGGATTTATGAAGTATTTAACACGGTAATGACTATGTTCAAGTGTGAAACATTTATGACACTTGTTGAATGCGAGAGATACAACTTTCTGTGCCCGTATGATTGGAGCAATATACGACTTGTAACCTAGTACTGATGAAAATTACGGGATCCTTAGGATACAAGTCACAGATCTGTGTCGATAATAATTTGTAATTTTACCGATTAAAGGATCTCTCAGAGAGCCAAATGATATCCTATGGAAAGTGGACAATGATCTAATGGAACATCCATTATATCATTGACGATATCAGACTGAAAGTTTAG